TTAAAAACAAACAGAAAAAGGATGTCTGTTAAATCTGATAACAGAAGAGAGCTGCTTGAAGGTAAAATAGCTACCTCACAGCTCATAGCAAATTCTTTGCATATCACAAAAATCCACCCCATTGTGGGCGCCGTGGTCCTGCCCTGGCATGCTGGCTGCTCTTTAAGGGTTGCCAGTCTTGGTGAAGGATAAAAACTTAGGAGTGAAAGCAAGGCCATTAGACCACTTAACATGGACTTATCAGCCAGGAAAAATGTATTCCACAGCTGTGCACAGTGGTACACAGCTGTGCACATCTGGAGTCCTAGCATTGGGAAGAGGTAAGAGTCCAGAGGGAGAATTCGAGGTGAGCCAAGGCTTCATAGGAAGGCCCGATCTCAAGCATCTAACCCCAATACTCCAACAGATAGCTCTGCAGCCAAGATTTCCCTCACATGCCTTCTCTGTTGTGGTCATGTCCCTTTACTCGTGCCCTGGACAGCTGTATCTTCCTAGGCTTCTCCTGGGTTCCAGCATGCTTTTCTCCAGTGGGTTTTTCCTTGAAAGGATTTCCTCTCTAGGACCCTATGATACTGCTCCATTCCAGTCAGCTCCCAGAACTTTTAGTATGAACCCTTTCAGGTTTCCCGTATTCTTCATTCGTTTGCTCTCCCTTTCAGATCTGTTTGTTGAGTGACCATATAAATGAACAATCTTGTTATTTCTCTAGATTCTCCTATCCCCGACCTAAAACTAATCCATAGCCTTTCCCACCGTCCACTCCATAAGCATAGCTTTCCTCTTCTTGGTAATTCTAATCTATAGAACACAGTAGGAGCCCTCTGGGATCAGAGCCCTCTGGGGTGGCTCCTGTGACCCACTGAAACGAAACATCCTCCCAACTTCGCACTGCCATACCTGCCATGATACTCTTCTCTCTAAAACCTCTGTGCATGGGTTAACCTTGGCCCATCCTGTTCTTCTGGATGACTAGGTCACTACTCTTTGATGACTCTCTGTGACATTCACGAGCTGCTCTCATCTCTAAACCCCTTCGTAACCTGATATATACCTCTAGCTTTCCTATGGTGGAATTCTAAGTGTAAGATATACTCTTCCTTCTGGGGCTGGGAACCTCTTGAGGACAGGACCTGTATCAGGTCTGTACCCTTACACTGTGCCCCAGGTAGAGTTCTCTTGCTGTCATAAAACATTGACTTAAACCAAGCTGCGGAGGAAAAGGTTGGTTTATAGCTTACAGCCATCAATAAGGATCTCAAAGGCTCAAGGCACAAACACGGCAGCACGGACTGATGGAGAAACCATGGAGCAACGTTACTGACTGGCTTGCAACCTTTATTATACAGCCCACCTGCCCAGGGGTGGTACCACCCAAAGTGGGCTGGGCTGTCCTGCATCAATTAAGAAAATGCCCCCACAGATGTGCCAATACACCATTCTAATAGAAGTGATTCTTCATGAGGTTTTCTCTTCCCCAGTGTGTCAAGCTGACACCAGGATTAGCCACCACACACATTCCAGACACTCTTTATTGAACTAAGTGCAAATTGCCTCAAAAGTCGGTCTGCATTGGGTTACCCTGTTTCTACTTCTTTCATTATTCTTAAATTATATTAGTACTAACCATCCTTTGTATGCGTTTCCTTGCCTCTGCTTTATTTAATGTCAAATCTTCATCAATGCCAAGCCCCTCCCCCAATATTTCTATTCTTCAAAGGTCTCCCATGGCCCCTTCAGGAGCACAGTCTCCTGGTGTTTACATGAGATTGTCACTTAGGCCGTTTTGATACTGGGAAGTGTAGGATGAAGAGGCATCCCACTGGCACTAGGGCCTTATGTGTCTTACGTGTTTTATGTGTCTTATGGATCTGGGTAACCGTCTCACCATTTGCTCCCACTCGAAGCATCTACAGACGGCGACAGTACAGAATGGGCCGTCTCAAGCTTTTAGTGAATGTGTGTAGAGAGCAAAAGGCTATAAGAGCCAGTCTATGCTCAGACAATATGGTGCTGCTATGGATATCCACTACAAGTTAGCTAAAACATGGCTGACACTAGACATGGTGAGTGGGAGGTGGGGTGGGGGGACGGGTCAGGGTTAGTACAAAATTGCCGACACCAGATGTCTGGGGACCCAAATTAACAGTGATATAATCTAGCATATAACTACTTTTAGCAAGTGACATTTTTGTATGGGTTCTATATGAACATGGCCTTGAGGGCAGAGTAGCAGCCTTAGCCAGCCTGCCTGTGTGTGGTTTTCTGTAAGCTCAAGTGCCTGCTACCATGTAGCCCATGAGTGCCAGCATGTGTCTGGGTGCCTTCTGGTGACTGTCTGGTCAGCAGCCTTCTTCTGGAGTGAAAGAAATATGTCTCATGAGTCTACAACTGAAGAGTCAAAGATCTCTTTAACCTCCCAGCCTTCTGTTAGCCCCCGTCAGATCCTGGACCTGACAACATGAGGTTGTGGTTGGGTTGTAGCTCTGGACTGCCAGGTGATGTTCACAACACAGGTCCATGGGTTACACTGTGTGTCACAAGGTTAACAATAATCTAGTGAATTCAGTGCACAAGCTGAGATTTAAGCCTAGGTCTGTCTAGCTCCAAACGGTAGTGTGTTTCTACAATGTTGAATGAAAGGCTAAATGAAAGAACAAAGTGTATTTAAGCCGGATGATTTGGGATAAGTATGCCTCACTGCTGTGCTACAAGCTCAGTGATTTGGGATAAGTACTCCTCGCAGCAGCGTTAATTTAGATGAATTGAGAGAATAAAGAAGGAGATATATTTAGCTAGAAAAATTTGTTTTCCCAAGAAAGGGTAGTGATAGTAGGATAAAGAGTCTAAGAATATAAAATTTAATGAAAAATCACACAAAGTGAATGATAAATCATGAAGGACGTAGAAAGAGCCCACACCTGCCACTTACAAAATGGCAGCACCAAACACCACGGACACCTCCACCAAGGATCTCTGACAAACCGAGCAACGGTCACAACCACGACTGACAACACAGGGCTGAAGGGCGGGGGTCCCAGGGCAAGGCCAGGCCATAGCAGCTCAGGAGGCAGGACTGAGCACCACCCTGTGACTGTCAGGGAGCACCATGGATCGCAGAGAATGGCATCTCTGTGGTGGATGATATTGCTGCAACACTCCAGATGCGTGAGGCCTGAGGTGTCCCCCTGTGTTGTACACACGAAGCTCTGCAGCTTCCTTCTGTAGGGTCCCCAGACCATAAAGCCTGAGAGTTCATTAGGCCGTAGAACATTGAGCAGTATTTGGCCTCAGACACGGGCACCCACTAAGAGATTTTGAAGACACTGTCCTTATGTCATATACCACCAGGGCAGCACCATGACACCTATGCAGTTTCCTCAAACGTCCTGCTACAGATCATTCCTAGAGACCTCTAAAGTCCCTCTGAAGTGACAGGACCAGGCTCTCTCCCATCCAGTGTCCCTTGCTCAGTCCCTTGCTATTGGATGTTGATGACCTTTTCTAGGCTTGATTTTCTTTACTTTTTTTCTACTAACTTCTTTTTTTTTTTTAATTTACTATTTTCTCCACTGGAGCCTAAGGTTCCATGCTTTTATGATTGTTGAGGCCATTTTACTCTTTCAGACTTGTCAGTTCAACTCTTGTTAATTATATTCTGTCTCTCTGTCTCTCCTTCCTCCCCCACCCCCTCCCCAATCTCTCTCCAGGATTATGGATTAAAACTAGGGCATGCTGGGTAAGCATTCTACCACTGACTGTATCTGCATCTCTCGATCTGTTCTAGTGGCAGGGCTTTCTTCTGTAGCTCACACTTGTTTCCACCACGCAAGGGCTGGGGTTACAGGTGTGTGCCATGAATCCTGGCGGCCTGGAAATGAGTGGACGACATTAAAACCAAGCCCTGGTGTAGAGACCTGGTCATCACAGACTACAACTAATTTAGAGGAAGTTGATTTTTCAGTGGGATTCTGTTGTGGGTTTGGTCTAGTGCTGCTTGTATTATGTTAATTTGCCCCCCCCACACACACACACCAAATTACACGGGACTCCACAGGTCTGCACAAAAGGAGCTGAAGATTCCTGTCCTCAGTTGGTTTTGATTGGTAAATAAAGTTACGGGCAGCCAACGGCTGGGCAGGGAGACAGAGGGAGGAGCCCAGGAGGGCTGCAGGTCTGGGTTCAGGGCAGCCAAGATGGATATAGGTTTTAGTAGGTGATGAGTTGGGATTATCGGAAAGTAGGACAGCCACATGGAGGTTAGAAAGTGAGTGGCCTAGCCATTGAGCTGTTTAAGGGATATTAAAAATACAACTGCGTTTGTGCGTGTGTGTCTTCAATTCGGGAACTCCGAATATTGGGGCAGGTAACGAAGAACGCATTCCGAAGTCACCACTAGGGTGGTTTTGAGTAGAGATTAATTGGTTACTACAACAGGATTCCCTTTTCTTGGTCTCTAATTTTGGCATACAAAGATTTAGGACAACAAAACGAAACACCAGGGGCCCACTTATATTCTTCTTTGGCTTTCCAGCCCTCTCTAACCCAACCCACAGTGCATCCCCTGAATGTCTCTAATACCCAGCTTCAGATGCCAAGGGGACAGTATTTTTTGAAAGATTTATTTTGCTTTTATTTTATGTGTATGTTTTTGCTTGATGCATGTGTGTGTACCACGTGCATGCTGTGACTGCCGAAGCCAGGAAACATTGTTGGATCCCCTGGAACTGGTATGTGGGAACCAAGCCTGGGTCCTCTTAACCTCTGAACCATATCTCCCGCCCCCGAAGTCATATTAAAACCACACACCTATGGCTTCGAGGGAGTTCCTCAGCGTCACAGTGACCATCCCTGCCTCTCTGTCTGTATCTTATGTTCCTGGTATCTCCTCCTCACCTCCACTTGAGGCAAGCCCTCTGCCACTCAGTTACAGCCCCACCTTCTGTTTTGTCCGTTTTGATATAAATAGAAAACACACAACACGCACAGCAGCAGCCTCATACCTGATCAAACTGGGGGTCCTCTCCACGCTGCAGAGATTTCGTCAATGGCTTTTCCTACAGGGGGAAAAACATATACGAAAGTAATTATGTAGGCTTGTGAACACTGTAAGAGAAATGCCATTACTATTATAATTTTCTCATTCGCTTTTTTTCCCTTTATAGAACAAGGGAGTGCTGGTATTTAACTACGTTAAAAAGTATTCCTTTGCTAGTCTGACTTTAACCTTTCTTCTTTGGATTTTTTTAAAATTATGAATATATATGTGTGAGTCTGTACACATGAGGGCAGTGCCCACAGAGGCCAGAAGAAGGTGCTGAATCCCCTGGAAGTGGAGTTACAAGCAGTTATGAGATGCTCTTAACCAAACTGGGGTCCTCTGTAAGAGCAGGGCATGCTCTTAACTGCTGAGCCATCCCTTCAGCCCCATTTCTATCCCAACTCTTTTTGCTGTTTTTGGTTCTTTGAAACAAGGTCACCTTAGGCTAGCCTTGAACCCTCTAACTTCCACGGCGGTGGGATTGCAGGTGTGCACCTGCTGGCTGGGCTCTTGACAGTCTCCTTAGTCTACACCTCTCTGCTCAACGTGAAGAACTGACATTCAGGAAAACGTAAACTAAATTCAAAATGAAATCTCCCCTCATCTAGGCTGAAATGAAATTTGTCAAAAAGACAAAAGATAAGCTTTGGTAGACCTAGAGAAACGATGTCCATTATAAATGGTGAGCAAAAAAAAAAAAAAAAAAAAAAAAAAAAAAGTAAAATTACTTTAAGGAAAATGATATGGTGGCTGCTCTAAAACCAAAAACCAAACCAAACCAAAACCAACAGCATACAAACTCACACAAACCAGCAATTCTGCTTCTGAAGCAGAATTATATTGCAAAGAAGTGAATTCGTTATGATACACATCTGCATGACCATGTTCCCTGAGGCACTGTCCATGATACCAACTCAAGAATACCCTAACAACTATCAGTGAATACACGGAAACTCTACACAGTGGGATACTAGTCAGCCTGAAAGAGAGAAGAAAGGCCTGTCCTCTGGAACGCCCGGTATGAACCGGAATGATGCTATGCCAAGTCCTGGAAGCCAGGCACAGAGAGAAGATTCTATGTGGATGAAATAAATAAATATTTACAAATTATACTAAGCAGCTGATGCTATAAGCAGCCCTGTGTTTATGGTGGAAACCTCATACTAACAACTACGACATTTATTTTTATTTTTAAATTTTAGTATGTGAGAGCTGAGGCATAGGTCAGTGGCAGAGCACATGTCTAGCATGCGCAAGGCCCTAAGTTCAACTGCTAATAATAGAGAAAAAGGAAAACAAACAAAAGAGAAAGGAAGGCAGGAAGGAAGGCAGGAAGGAAGGAAGGCAGGAAGGAAGGGAGGAAGGAAGGAAGGAAGGAAAATGGATGGGTGGATGGATAGATGGATGGATAGATGGATGAATAGACAGATGGATGCTGGGGCTAGACAGATGGCTCAGCAGTTAAAGCTGTTCCTCCAGAGAACTGGAATTTGGTTGCTAGCACCCACATTTGACAGCTCACAATGGCCAATAACCCTAGTTCCAGGAGACCCGATGCTTTGTTCTGGCCTCCAAGGGCACTGCACTCATGCACGCGCGCGCACGCACACACGTGCACACAAACAAAAATAAAGCTTACAAATCACTTAGTTTGTGTACTGGGACTTGATAGAAGCAAAGTTGAAAGGCATATGTTTCTAATTCCTTTCATGTAGAAATAAAATAAAGTCGGCTTACTAGACCGATGAGGAGGACAGTTTTCTAGTTACCTACTTGCCAGGAGGAACTGGTGAACTGGGCTATGTGATTTGACTGTCACAAGACACTGCAAAAATAATCTCAGCAGTGACAAGGATCTGCAGACTGCCACTCTCTGCCATCAAGCTGTGATTTCTCCAGGAAGCCTGGCTGACCCCCAGTGTGGCATTATTTAGTTACTTATCTTTGTTTGTATTTTTGGTTTTTTTGTTGTTTTTGGTGGTGTGTGTGTGTGTGCGTGTGCATGCGCGTTTGTGTGTATGTGCTTTTGTTTTTTTTTGTTTTTGCTACAGCAGGTAAAACATGTTTTAAAGACTGTGATGGCTGATCTTGGAAATTGTCTTAGTTTGGCTTTTATTGCTGTGAAGAGATATCTTGACCATGGCAACTCTTACAAAGGAAAACATTTAGTTGGAACTGGCTTACAACCTCAGAAGTTTAGTCCTTTATCATCATGGCAGGAAGCATGACAGGGTCCAGGCAGACATGGCACTGGAGAATGAACTGAGAGTTCTACATCTTGATCCAAAGGCAGCCAGGAGACTGTGCGACCCTGGGCATAGCTTGAGCATAGGAGACCTCAAAGCCCAACCCCACAGTAATGTACTTCCTCTAACAAGGCCACACCTCCTAAGAGTGCCACTCCCTATGGGGCAAGCACTTAAACACAAGTCTCTGGGTGCCATACCTATTCAAACCAGCACAGAAATCAACTTGACACACCTGGAAAGAGGGAACCTCAGATGAGGAATTGCCTCCATCAGACTGGCCTGTGAGCATCTCTATGGGATATCTTCTCAATTTTTAAATTATGGAGGAGGGAGGGCCTAGTCCAGTATGGGCAGTGCTATTGACTGGGCAGAGCCTGGATTCCACAGGAAAGGTACAGAAAGCCATAAGGACCGTGCCGGAAAGCAGCATTCCTCTGGGGTCTGTTCCAGTTCCTACCATGGTTTTTCTTGATGTTGGACTTCTTCTGTCCCAAAGTTGGTTTCCATCAGTGCTTGATTACAACAACAGAAAGCAAACTAGTACAGGGATTTTGAAAAATGTAAAAGATATACATATATGCATGCATATACATACATGAACGAATGTATGTAAGTAAAATTTTATTTGGCCAGTGTAAATAAATATCCTCGAAAAACTTCATATATATTTAGCCAATCACACAGACCCATGGCTCCCCACATCTCCAGTCACAGAGACAACACATACCGAAGGCTGATGCAAGCCCCATCCCTGCCCTGGCTAGCCTTGAACTTGTGCCAGCCTTCTTGAGCACCAGCCTGACAGGTATCATAATAGTCTCAGTCCACACCCCTGAGGTCTCCCCCTCACCCCTAGACTTAGGAATTAACTGCCCTCTCTCATCTGGGGACTATACTGTGTTCTTATTGGCTAGTGAGCCAAAGCAGTTCTTTGTAAATCCAGCTAAAATGCCAACATTAACATCAATAATTTGAGAAGAGGCGGCCATCAGGTCCCACAGACATCCTTGCAACAACTATAAGTGAATATTTCTACTTGGAATTTTCTCTGTTCATCCAAGAGTGAGAGGCCGTTTTGTGCCCAGCCTACAGGCTGGGTGGAGGGCTGGCCAGCATGTGGCTGCTGCCACCTGGGGAGAAATTGGGTCAGTGGTCCCCTCTGCCTCATCACTGCCCACAGCCGTGCCATCACTCCCTCAGGGAGATCTTGGGAGCCAGCCTCCAATACCAGCTCTGTGTCCCAGCTTTCAAGCCTGCGAAGGCCCAAGTTTCTTCCTTTCACAGCCCATTACATGGTGCAAAGCCACTTTACACTGAGCCATGTGCATGACTGAAGCTCCACACGCTGCTCCTGCTTGTCTGAGGCTCCAGACAGGCAGCAACCTCTGTCTGTTTCAATATTTAAAGGTCCTGTGGTAGAGCAGGGCTAGGTGCAGGGTTAGACACGAGACCTTGTGTGTGCATGTGTGAGCTAAAAATTAAAATGTATAGATTAATATTAATATAAATGGTAGTTTGAATATGCCTGGGCCAGGGAGTAGCACTATTTGGAGGTGTGGCCTTGCTGGAGGAAGTGTGTCACTGTGGGTTTGGGCTTTAAGACTCTCTTCTAAGCTGCTTGGAAGCCAATCTTCTAGCTGCCTTCAGAACAAGAGGTGGAACTCTCAGACGTTCCAGCCCCATGCCTACTTGGATGCTGCCATGCTTCCTCCTTTGATGATAATGGACTGAACCTTCGAACCTGTAAGCCAGCCCCAATTAAATGTTGTCTTTATAAGAGTTGCCTTGGTCATAGTGTCTCTTCACAGCAATAAAACCCTAA